ACACGTTACAGAACTACATTTTATACATTATCCAGATTATGGCAAGGCAGAGCATATAACCAGAGTGTTTGAAAGCATTTTATTTGCGATATATAGAGGGACAGCGACACACTATTTGCATCGCATACAGTTTGTGAGGATTACACGATCCACCGAGAGGCACAGCAAAGTGCTGCCTCATCGCGCATCTCCTCCATGTATTTGAACGGGACATACGGAAATTCTGCTATTCTTTATTGAAAAAAATTCCTTCAACATCGGATTCGAACGGCAAAAGGGCCTACAACACACACCAGCCGACAAATATTAACATTTATTATATTTTATGGTTAACTTTTTTTCTTTTCAAGATTGACAGGGGAGGCTCTGCCTCACCTGCCTCCCCTGACCGCACGTCACTGAGTTTAGGGAATTGTGATGTGTACGGCAATTGTAATCTCAAAACTATTCTGAAAACCAAAACAACCAATGCCAACAGGACAGGAGCCGATATGTTTGTATATGGCCAGAAGTGTAATTACATGTATCAATTGTTATGTTCTGGTGATGTGATGTACACTATTTGAATCTTGTATAATCGGACCTGGGCTCACCTTCAGGTTCAGCACAAAGCACCCCTGCTTCATTGCCATGGCTGCAATCAGTGGTGGCAAACTTTCTGCTCCAGCACTCCAGTAGGGAATTCTCATTGCCACGGCAACCCAGACGTTCATAGTGGAAGACAGATCTGGGGCCGAAGTAGGAATGCTGCAGGGCTGTACCAATCTCACTGCATGGACAGCCGATGCACAGAGTGACTCTCTTCTGCTAAACACACATACTTTTAGTTGACCTGAGCTAACTATGCAAAATAGTGAGTGGAATTAATATATATATTGTAATTCCTGATCTATTATAACTGTTGCAACAACATTTACCGTATTTTTTGTTTTCTGTTGTATTTGGTTGAAGTGGAGCTAATTTTTTAATTTATTAATGAACAATTTAATCCATGTTTTAGAAGCTTATCATGTGTTTTGTATAGCTTTCAGATAAATGTAGAATATTTCCCTCTGAACTGTAGTGAAGCAAAACAAACAAGCAAATAAAAAAAACAGAAACACTACAATGAAGTAAAGGTATCTCAAAATTTTGATTTAAATAGTAACTTAAGTAATTATACTCAGTTATTTTCTATCACTGCAAAAAGAGATCTGGTAGGGGGGCCAGTGTCATAATTTTTAAACAAAGCTAGTTTCCAGCCTAAGTTCAGACAAGTTACAAATAATAAAACAAGATTGACATTTTTAAACCAACCAGATTCCTCATGAAGCCCCCGAAACAGATGAATAAAAAAGAGACTTCCCTCACCCCAGTCCGAGCTGTCTGCATATGACAGTGGCATCTCGATCGGTCCAGTGTGTGTCACATACTGCCCCCCACTGGCCATTCAGGTAGACCTCCAAACGTCCACTGTTGCCTGATGACCCCCCCACCAATCTGGCTGCACCTGCAGATGACACAGGAAGAAAAACCTGTTACAACACATGGAATAAAAATATAGTGCTTTTGAACAAGTTAGAAAATACTTTTTAGTTGCAACAGAAGTAGCTATCACCAAAGGTACATAGAATGTATAGTCTTTCAAATAAGAAAGAAGCAGCTAATTAGAAAAAGTGAATGCAGAAAGGGTCAGCTTCAGGAGGCAAAGGGTAATATAAGGTTTTGTCTATAGTTCTGTTTGTTCACCCTGATGGCAGTCGCAGTAGGCCCAACTGATCGCCCCGGATTTCCGCCTGAAGAAGCACCAAGGGTTGGCCTCTTGGTCTGGGTTTCGGCAGAAGTTGTGGCCTCCCAGGCCTCGGCCAGGATACTGCTGTATGTAGTACGGGAAGTCTGTCCACTTCAGGCAGGGAGAGCCTGAGTCCGTATGGGAAACTGAGCCATTATAGTAGCCCAGTTCTGTAAAGCCCTCTGAACAGGAAAGTGGAGCTGCTGACACAGAACATCACTCAGTCAGGCATGCAGCCATTTTTACTATATCACATGACAACTCTAGTAAGATGCATGACTGTATTACTGAATTTTAGCCAAATAAGAAGCACACTCCTTACAAACCAACTTCCTTTCAATGAAACCAATTGTTTTGTGTGTCCGACACTTTGGCCTCACCAGTGATATATCATTAAAGTAGATTATGCTAGAAAAACTAGTTTGTCTGGTGTGACTAGGTGTTGTTTTACCATACCGGTGATGAGGGGGGAGTTTCTGTTCAAACTATAACTAGAAATTACAATGTTTCTACTATCATGTGTTGCACATACTGTAGTGGAAAAGAGATCCGATTTGTGTCTGATGTATTTGTTTGTGTGAGCTGCTTTGCTGAATCATATATCTCACATATGCAGATGTAAAGTTATCTGAGTTTGTGTGTGTAGCTGTAGCTGTTTTACTGGGTGGGCAAACATAAGTTTCAAACTCCGTAACCCCACTCACTGGCTGCTGGTGGGTTAGCTGGTGAGTTTGCTCATGAAGAAATACAGTGGATATGGAAAGTATTCAGACCCCCTTAAATTTTTCACTCTTTGTTATATTGCAGCCATATGCTAAAATCATTTAAGTTCATTTTTTTCCTCATTAATGTACACACAGCACCCCATATTGACAGAAAAACACTGAATGTTTGACATTTTTGCAGATTTATTAAAAAAGAAAAAATGAAATATCACATGGTCATAAGTATTCAGACCCTTCAGATTCAAGTAGTCACATTACTTTTTGCCATTTCTTGTACAGTTAACCACTGAAACAACACACAATTTATGGCCATAAAAGGAAAGTTATGATTTTCAGTTTTTATTTTGCTGCACTGCATGTAATTGGCTTTTGAACACTGTCATAGATAGGCATGTTTTTAAACCAGTGCTCAAGTCGGTCAAAGGGTCTAAAAAAAGTGCAAATGAAATTGGTTATTTTTTACTGTTTTAGCCGTAGTCAGATAATACAAAATCCAAATTAGTTTCCAACAAACATAGCATTCTTTGCAATATTGTCATTGTGAAAAGCCCAGATGGGATTGTTTGATTTAGGACAGATTTAGGTCTCAGGTAATAAACTCAGCCGAGTGGCACTGCTTTCTGGCAAGTGACTTTTTTTGTATTTTATTTAATTATAAATTATATTTTATTACAGTTTTGTATCACATGTACATTGCCAGTTTGATCATTCATTACAGCTGTTTGAACTACTATTTCTAAGTAGCTTTAGTTAACCAAACTATATTTCTCCCTTGAGCAGATTTGCTGTAGTTCATTTTATTCCGGTATGTAGTGTTAGGTATTTTTAGTCAGATAGACATTGGTTAGACACTTCATGTATTAGAAATGTTTAGTGTAGTCAGGATGTCTAGCTCAGGCTGTTAAATGCTTAGTCATTCCCATGGGGTACTCCAGGTTGTTTATGTTCAAGGATAACTAGATAGAAAGTTGATTACTGTATGACGTGTTTAATCATAATTGTAATCATAATATCTTCTTATGCTTAATGTCATGACATGTCACTGGATGTCCTGTCAGAATGTCTTAGATACGCA